TTTTTAATTATATTAAAAATTCTAAACAATTGAGGGGCTAATACAAACTTATTAAATTTATTATTAAAAATCAAAACTGAAGAACAAAAATAAAATTGATAATTAAAACAATATTTAAAAAGCTTTTGTTAAATTAATAAAATTCCTACAAATATGAAAAGAAGGAAACAATTTAAAGACAATTTTGTTTTATTTCTTTCAATGTTTAGGATCAAACTTGTACATTTTTATAGTATAACTTAATTCTTCTTTTATTTTCTTCACTCACTAACAACTTTACTAAAAAGTATTTAAATTTTCATCTTAATTTCTTAATATATATTTATTCTTTTGTTACAGTTTGACTTCACCATCATATGGAGCTGCTGCAGCGGAACCTCTTTCACCATCCATGACGGGACCCTGGACTTCTAATCGGGGGTGTCGGTCGGGAGTGTTCCGGAGCGTCCAGATTCGAATCTGGAGGTCTCCAATACACGGGATTTCGGAATTTCCGAGATCCTGGGTCTTGGAAACTTCTGAATACGAATCTCGAGGCTTCCAAAACAATGGATCTTCGAGATCCATTGTTTTGAAAGACCTCGCGATTTGTATTTCAGAATTTCCAAAAACTCAGGATCTCGGGACTTTCGAATTTCGTGGCTTGGAGACTCCTGGTTCGAATTTGGGCGCTCCAGTCGACCGGGTCTTGACCCGGACGGTCTTCGAATAACAAAAACCTTCCGCGCTAAACCTGGTAGACGTGAAAAATTTTTTTTGTCTTTAAATAAAACACATATATAAGGTTCACTCTTGTTTTATTTGTTCCCTCTCCCCCTGGTGCCCCCCGGATCCCCCCTGGTGCCCCCCGGTTTCCCCCTAGTGCCCCTTTTACCCTCTTCACACTGTAGCAATTAGTACTGTTTTACTTTTAGGGTTGTTCTATTTCTGATTTTCTTACTGCTGCTTCTGGTTGCATTACATTTCAATTAATAAATTAAAAATTAAGGGAGATCTAAGAAAACATTCTCTACTTTTCTTCTTATAATTGTTTTACTGTTTTATCTGTAGCAATTAGTCCTGTAGTTTTGTTTAAATTTTTGTTGTAGTTGCTTATGGTTACATTAAAATTCAATTAACAGATTACGAATTAAGGGACCCAAAAAAGCATTTTCTGGTTTTCATTGGTCATCATAATTTTACTTTTTGTGAGATCAAACCTGCATACAATGTTGGATCTTTTTTATTTTTCAGGGTTATTTATTTAATTCTGTTATTGTGTTTTTCATTGTAATCTGAGCCTGGGAATTAAGAATTAACAAATTAAAATTGCTATGAAAGTACAAACTAAAGCAAATTGTGACGAATAGCTAATTGGCGTTCTCTATTTAATTTGAAAATTGTTTGTTGCAGCTGCTTTTGGTTTTTCTTTTGGAGTCTTGGATATTCGATGAAGCAGCTTTCCTGGAAGTGAAAGGGTGAATCGATTGGGGCCCCAACGGTGAGTAGGTTTATGTTTTTCATATTATATTTTTAAGTAATTCTGATCTACTTTCATAAAATTTTATTATTCACTTTATGTATTTCGAAACGATCTAATTTGAATAAAAAAATTTTGTGGAAGTTTTTAATATATAACTATTTCTTTTTATTTCTTAGATATTTACAGTTATTGAAACAAACATATATTTTTTCTTTCAACATAGTTATTGTTTAAAATAACTTTTTTTGCCAATTGTAGCAATTCTTGAACATTTTATTTTGTCAATCTCTTTTATAGTTTATAACAATTATCTGTTTGTATTTCGTAAAGAATTTTAAATTAATGTAATCAAACTTAGGTATTTGTTGAAACNCACTTTATGTATTTCGAAACGATCTAATTTGAATAAAAAAATTTTGTGGAAGTTTTTAATATATAACTATTTCTTTTTATTTCTTAGATATTTACAGTTATTGAAACAAACATATATTTTTTCTTTCAACATAGTTATTGTTTAAAATAACTTTTTTTGCCAATTGTAGCAATTCTTGAACATTTTATTTTGTCAATCTCTTTTATAGTTTATAACAATTATCTGTTTGTATTTCGTAAAGAATTTTAAATTAATGTAATCAAACTTAGGTATTTTTGTACTTTGAGGTAATTTTTTTTAATTTCGTAATTTCATAATTTTATAGTCATTTCTTTTAATTTCTTACGCATTTAAGTTTATAGAGTTAACTTATTAGAGAGTGTTCTTAATTAATGATTGTTCTTCAGCATGCAACCTAATCTCTTTTTATTTATGTTAATTAATTATATTTACTTTTTTATTTCTTTCAATGTTTAGGATCAAACTTGTACATTTTTATAGTATAACTTAATTCTTCTTTTATTTTCTTCACTCACTAACAACTTTACTAAAAAGTATTTAAATTTTCATCTTAATTTCTTAATATATATTTATTCTTTTGTTACAGTTTGACTTCACCATCATATGGAGCTGCTGCAGCGGAACCTCTTTCACCATCCATGACGGGACCCTGGACTTCTAATCGGGGGTGTCGGTCGGGAGTGTTCCGGAGCGTCCAGATTCGAATCTGGAGGTCTCCAATACACGGGATTTCGGAATTTCCGAGATCCTGGGTCTTGGAAACTTCTGAATACGAATCTCGAGGCTTCCAAAACAATGGATCTTCGAGATCCATTGTTTTGAAAGACCTCGCGATTTGTATTTCAGAATTTCCAAAAACTCAGGATCTCGGGACTTTCGAATTTCGTGGCTTGGAGACTCCTGGTTCGAATTTGGGCGCTCCAGTCGACCGGGTCTTGACCCGGACGGTCTTCGAATAACAAAAACCTTCCGCGCTAAACCTGGTAGACGTGAAAAATTTTTTTTGTCTTTAAATAAAACACATATATAAGGTTCACTCTTGTTTTATTTGTTCCCTCTCCCCCTGGTGCCCCCCGGATCCCCCCTGGTGCCCCCCGGTTTCCCCCTAGTGCCCCATTCACACTCATTCGCGCCCTCATTCACACCCTCGCTGATAATGGGAGAGAATGAGAATGCATGGGGGTAAACAGGAGTGTGTTACCGTTTACCTCCATGCATTCTATTCTCTCCCATTATCATTCTCACTCTCATTCATCCATGCACACGAAGATACAAGCGTACGTACACCCCAATCATGTTCTGGCCCTTGCATACACTCACATCCCTTACATATACTCTCCATCGTACCGAGAGAGAACAGGAAAGCATGGGGTAAACAGGAAGTTGTTGCTGTTTACCGCATACATTCCTATTCTCTCTTAATAACACACACACACGCACATATATGCGTACGTACATCCCAACTGTGCTCTCGCCCTTCCATTCATTCTCACCCCTTATATGTACTCTCCCTTGCACTCAGAGAGAATGGGAATGCATAGGGTGAACAGATGTGCGTTACTGTTTACCCTTATGCATTCCATTCTCTCCCATTAACATTCTCCTTCCTTTTCATCCACACACACACACACACACACACAAATACAAACCCCTTAAATATAATCTCCTTTGAGAAAATAGGAACGCATGAAGTGAACAGGAGGATGTCACTTTTTACCCCATGCATCCCTATGCTCTCTCAATACCATTCTATCTCTCTTTCATCCACGTACTCGCACATACATATGTACTTGCACCCTAATTATACCCTCACGCTTCCACACAATCATACCCTTTACATATACATACACTTTCCCTCATGATGAAAGAGAATGGATATGCATGGATTGAACAAGAGTGTTGCTATTCACCCCTATGTATTTCTATTCCCTTTCATTACATGACACTGCTTCACCCTCTACCTCTCCCTCTCACATATAAACATTTGCACAAATTCCTAATTCCTTTCATATGCACCCCTACAGTCTCACTTTCATACATACATGCCCTCAATCATATGGCCTTTTGTCATCATGTATTCCTACATTAATAATTATCTCTTTCTCTATCATTCAGAAACATCCCCATTCTCTTAGTCTCACTCTCACCCCATAATAAATTCCCTTTTCCCCTGTTATTATTACAGTAATATTTACAATAACATCTGGATAATAAATACACAAATAACTGCTAAATATTCAAATAAGTTAAACCTAACGTAAGATATAAATAAATATCAGAAACTTAATGTATGATTACAACAATATTCAACTAAATTTTACCTATTGAACTATAAAATAATTAACTTTTAAATTTCTGCAGTACATTTCTAAATATTTGATTAACGAATATGCACATATATCATCTTAATAACACCAACAAATTACTTCATAAATATTAATAACAATATATACGTTCAAGTTTTAAAAGTGGGTTCGCTGAATTTATTTAAAAATTTTAATTTCATCATTTCAAAAGTTGAAAGAANTTCCTACAAATATGAAAAGAAGGAAACAATTTAAAGACAATTTTGTTCAATAAACCCACTTTTGTTGTTTACATATTTTTAGAAATAATAACAAATAGTATCCGCCGACATGGAACATGAGGTACCAAGGTGGCCCATTTCCTCTCCTGGTGTGGGTAGTAGATATGATTCTGACATGGAGGCACTTCAAGAATAGTCCAACCAATTTTGAATCTAAAGAACCAAAACAACAATTTTCATTAACAGCATGTATACATTAGTGGCGGGTTGAAAACCGGACATAGGGATATAAAAAATAAAGTCCTTGATATAGAAGTCCAATATATATAATTTAAAGTTTTGTGGGTATTATTACGCTTTGTTCAAAAAATTTTGAAAGATTTTAGAGAAGTAAGTGGAATCTTGAGACAATAGTTGAAAAGGTTTATCAAATTATGCCTTTTTATTTGTATAACATAAAAAGAAAAAAGCCGATAAATAAATGTGTAATTTCTATGTTCGTAGAACATTTTGCCTTACCTGTGTTAGATCTCCCCATGTCTTGTTTGCAACCTTAAATCTCCTTAAATATCCACTAATAGATGATCCACTCCTGACCATCGTATATGAATATCTGAAACTGAAATACCATATTCAGGCTTAGGTTCAAATGAAAGACCAACATTTGAAACAGAAGAACGCTCTCCATATGTTAAAAAAGTTTTTTAAATTAGTTAGTACAACATTAATTGTAATTATTTCTATCTAAACAAGTAATTATCAAAAATATTNAAAATATAGATCATTTCGCTCATTTTTCCCAGAATAAATTATTTTATCGTTCCTTCAAAAGGATGTGATGCTTTCAAATTTCCGCATTTTAAGGACTAAATCTTGGTACCATGACATAAACAAACGTTAGCTAAGAATTTTACACCACGAATGAAACTGTGAACAAGGAAATTAATTAGTCATACATACTGCCAACTCGACCTGTTTAAGTTGCTATTTCTCTAGTTACGAAATTTGTTACTAATATGAAAATTTCGGCATAATTGTCGTAAATATAAAGAAATACCTATATAGCAATTAAAAAGTAAAAAGAAGTTAACCTTAAGTGTATGTGTATAGAAAAAAAGGAAAATTAATTGTCATCCACAGTTTAAAATTTATTTAATTATTTATATATATAGTTAAAATTATTTACAAATA